TAAAATATTCAGGTGGCTAAAAAGATCAGCAAGAAATGCTAATTTTAGGAGCCAAACAGGGTCACATAAATAATTCGCATATTCAGATTTAGCACCTTGTAAAAACATTAACAATTCAGCTTTCAGTTCTAAAACTCTTGTCAATACCTTTCCTTTGGATAGCTACCTGACCTCTGTATGATAAAGGAGATTTTGATGAAGCGAACCCATGTCTTCACAAATGATTCTGAACAGTCGGGTTTGCAAGGCTTTACCTTTAATAGAATTCACAATTTTGATCACCTCTTTAAGCACTTCATTTAAATCAGAAGGTAAAACCTTGGCTACCAGAGCATGTCGATGAAGAAAGCAGTGTGTCCATGAGACATTAGGCATTATTGATTTTAATTTTGCAACGAGTCCGCTTTTTTGTCCAGTCATAGCTTTAGCGCCATCGCTACAAATGGCAATACATTTTGTCCAATCAATCTTGTAGTTGCGAGTGCTTTCTAAAAATATGTCGTACAAACACTGACCTGTGGTGTTTGAAGAAAGTGCTTTGCAAAATAAAATGTCTTCTGTGATACTTTCATCTGCTTCAAAGCGCACAAATACTACAAACTGTGCACAATCTGAAACATCAGTAGATTCGTCAAACTGCAAAGCAAAATGTGGGCTCTTCTTTAATTTCTCGACTACTTGTTCTCGAATGTCACTGGCCATATCGTTTATTCTGCGTTCAATAGTATTGTCAGAAAGTGGTATGCTTTTTAGCTTGCTTGCCTCCTGCCTACCTAACATAATTTCAACCATATCTAGGGCTGCTGGCAAAATAAGATTTTCGGCATCTGTATGCGGCTTCCCTGCTTTAGCAACTCGGTATGCAACTCTGTAACTAGCTAATAATGCGTTTTCGTTGACACTGGATACCTAAAAACAGACAAAAAATCAGAAAAACAAATAAATAATTAAGCAATAATAAATATTATTTTTAATCACCAAATAACAATACTATTTTATTACCTGAATCATAGTATTTTGCTGCAGGTTAAGGGTTTTCAGCTTACATTCAAAGAAATCCAGCGGTTTATCAGCTTCTTTGGGATGTTTGGTTGAAAGGTGACGCATAAGTTTTGATGGTTTCATACTCTCACGTGATAATACATCGCCGCAAATTACACATTGAGGTTTATTATTCATGACAGTAAATCCGTATTTCAAATAATTGTCGTAGTAATGTCTGTTTTTTTTCGGTTTTGATTCACTTCCGTCACTGCCACTTGTACCAGACGTGGAGGGCTGCGATCTTTTGAGAAATTTATCCATTTTATGGTCTTGCGGAGCAAAGCGCAAAGACAATACAATCACGTCTGTACTTGTTGGCGCATTCGCTTCCAGCGCCCCCGTGGAAAAGTTACTATTTGCAGGGCTCTTGCGACTTATTTGCAGAGTACAATTGGTTTTTCGATTGATATTTAGGTCTCAACGGAAAGAAAATTAAATACGTAATTTTTAAAATCATTGACATACTTTTAATATGGACCTGGGGGGTCGGCAAAAATTTTTAACTTGTAAAGGGGTCGCGTATTCAAAAAGGTTGAAAAACACTGCTCTACTGTAATAAGAATTTCAATGAATGTGAACTTATATACTGATGAATTGTAAGCTGCTTCAAACTAAATTTAATGAAATAAATTTTTAAAATATTAAAACCACTTAAAAGTTATTTTGAACAATATTTAAAGTTTTTTGATAAATTTGAATGCTTTAACACATTACAATATATGAAAGATATACAAAGTAAATATAGTTATAAAAATGTGTAATAAATAACATTAAAATCAATTAAAATAAGAAATTTACTTTAAAATACATGAGGATCTCATGTGAAAAGTTGAAACAACAATAAATTTAAGTTCAAAAATAAAAAAATTTTGCTTTACTGTACATTGATTAAATTAAAAAATTTTTTATGGATGATATTTTGTAAATAATTATTTCATTAAACTTAAAAATATTTAAAATTGGATGTAATTAAAAATTTTTTAAGTTTAATGAAATAATAATTTTAGAATAGGGAACATACTTTTGTATGTATTTTATTTTTTCTATGTCTTATGTTCTATGGAGAAAAAATGGGGATGTTTTATAGAAAAATTGCATAGCTTTATAGGCTTCATTTCAGCCATTTTTATTTGGAACTTTATTAGGATACAATGTCACTTACTTTAATTTCAATAAGTATAAATGAAATAATAATGAACAAAATTCAAGTTAAATAAAGTATTTGACATTTAAGAACCAAAATATCAAAGATGAATGCATATAATATAAAGTGAATTTTCTCAAACATTTAAAATACACAATTTAGAATAATGAGAGAGAGAGATTAATATGCAATGTTTAAATTCCTTCTTGACCGAAAATTCCTCTGTGTCTTAGTTATGTTCTTTAGCTATTAATGATGTCATATTGTTTGAGAAATATTGACTTTTTGAAATTTGTTGTAATGAACATGTTGAAAAATAGTTAAATTGTTTAATTTTCTTAGTGTGTCAGCTTTTGAAAGGATTCAAGCATATACTGATTAGAACACGAAACTATTATTATTATTAAATCACAGTTTATTCAAATCAATTCTTTATTACCAATTAGTGAAACTCCTATTGTCAGGGATACAAAAAAAGATATAAAAAATATTAAGAAATTAAAAACTAAAACAAAGTTTTGAACAACATGAACATCAAATCATTAGAAGCATTAACAGAAGTACAATTCAGTTCATTAAAAGAAATTAAAAAATGTATGTATTTCTTAACTGACACTAACAATAACTTAGTATGGTATGGTAATACAGATACAGGTAAAAACTTATTTTTTATGATACATACAATTAATCCTTTTTTTCTCACATTCAAAAATGTGTGACAATTTTCTTTACTGCCACAGTTTATTAAAAAAAAAGGCAATTTTGATTTCTATATCTTAATTAGACGTTACATTAACTTAACTGTAACAAGATTGATAAATACATGTAACTTAATTTATTACACTTATAATAAGCACTTCACCAACCTTGGCCATTGTACAAGATCAAGAGTGAAACTTGCAACTGTTTTTAACAGTTTATATTCTTGGAATAATAATTTATGTTCCATCCTTTTGTAACTGTTCCCAAATAAAAAATCATATGATTCTGACATGTCTGTAACCAATTTTATAGACAAACCTACTTCATTAAAATTTATGTTTCTTGTTATAAGCATTTGGTTTTTAATAAACATTTCATTGAGAATTTTTCTTTCCACTATATCTTGATTAAAAAATAATTTTCTTGTAAATTTTAATACTATTTTAAGGAGTTTGAAAGAAATATGAGCTCTGTGACAGCCTATACTTAACATGTTTTTCAATTTTAAAAATATATTTTATAAAATTGATTTTGTATCACTTCTGATTAAAATAACTTAAAATCCACTCTGGAAAAGCATAGTTAACAGTACTCATTACAATTGAATTAAATAACTTAAATATCTGAATAACATACATCTATTCTAGCCAACCATGTATCTAGTGAGATTTCTACTTATAAACTAAAACTTTTAGATATAAAACTTCTCAACTGTTTTATATCTAACAGTTTTAGTTTATAAGTAGAAATAAAAGTTAAAATAAGTAGAAAATAAAGCTAAATTAAAGATCATCATTAGATGATGATTGCTGCCATCTCCAAATTGATGGTAAATGCTATGTTCTTTGAGCATGAAGGAAGAAAGAAAATGAATTAAAGATGGCCAAGATCACCATCTAATGGTGATCATCTTTATCTTTAATTCGGTATTTACCATTAATTTAAGTGGCAAAATCTTGTTCATATTATGCAATATTTAAAATACTTGTGGCTTGTTTAGAAAACAACTCTTATGTAATTGAGAATCTGCTTTATTATCAACTATGCATTTAGATGCAAATTTATTTTCAATTCTTGTGAAGTTGCTATAGTATGCACTGACATGCATATAGTGTTTTTATTTATTATTACCTATTTTATTATAGAATAGATAAAAATTCATATTGATTTTTGTTTTATAATTAAAAACAGAATTGTATAAAAATATGTAAAGGTTTCTTTTATTTTTTTGCAATCAATATTTTGCAAGATAATTATTCAAAATGCCATTGATGGATTCCTTAAATAATAATTATTATTATTTAATAATGAATACTAAAACATGAGTAGTCTAATTTAAAATATTATTTAATTTTTAATTAAAAGGATTAAAAGAGCGACAGAAAAGATAAATTAATATTAAATTACTTTATTTAGGAGTCTACCATCAAATCATCAAAGAAGAAAGAAAAATTAGTACAGGAAATGAAATCCTGGTTAAAGAAAGAAATGGATAAAATACTGCGTGATAAAGGTTTAAAGGATAGCAATGGACAGCCTCAAGGAGAGTTAACATCATTTATGAATCAGTCTGGAGATATTGTTTCCAAAAATGTTAAAAAGCAGCTTCGACAAGGACGAGTACGTTGATTAAAAATTTCTAGATCTATTTTGTAAATTTTTTATACACACAATTTTGATAGTTTGTTGTTATTTAAAATGTAAATCTCAGATTTTGGAATTTGTTTTCAAAAATAAATTAATAATAAATTTTTATGGATTAGTCACAAGTTTTGTTTTTAGTTTGAAGTAATTAAATTTGTTTTTTCGAGATAGTACATTTTTAATAATAAAATTATGATATATGTGTTATCTAATGTTTATTATACATGTCATGTTGTTAAGATAAAATTCAGATGAATAAAAGGTGATGTCATTATTATATGCTATTCTCAATAATACAATATTTCCATATATTTTGATATTATATTTATTCAAGAAATAGTTAAAAATTATCCAAATAAGCATTTAGACTTCAAAATTAAGATTCTTAGAAACTTTTTAATGTTACAAAAGATTAGAATAATTAATTTCAAGAATTCAGTTAAAATTATATTAGTTATTGATATTGATTAATTAAATATTATCGTTTCTATGATGTTTTGCTTTAATACTGTAGTTTGAATTTTTATCATTTTGTTGATCTCTATAAGCCATTGGACCTTTCTATATTCAAAATTTTACAATTTATATTGTTTGTAAAATGAATAGTGATAGACATCCACATAAATGAAGTTTAAATTGATAAACATTGATTCTTCCATGTTATGAGATAATTTTCCAAATTCTTTCAAATATTTCAAGTTTTTGATTTTTTAATATCTTTTAAACAATAAATTTACAAAAGATGATGATGATTAACAAATATAATATAATATAATAATTTAATAAGGAAGATATCAAGTATATATGTATCCTTATATAATTACAAAGAGATACCTATAAAAACTCATGTTATTCAAACCACAAACATATCACTAACAACAGTAATATTAACTTTTCATAGGAATGGTTTATCTTCCTTTAACATGAAAGTATAAAAATATCAATTGGCAGTTTGAAATTACACAATAATTGATTAACTTAAATAAAATATATTGCAGTACATTGTACAGTACATGCAGTACATACAGTACATGCAGTACATTGTACATTATTTGAAAAACGCTTGTCAATCCTATAAATCCATAAAAATAACATTTTGATACATCTCTTCTATAAGAGCATTAAAAACACTGGTCACCTTGATTGTTTTGTACTGGGTAGCCATTATTAATGGTGGCTACTAACGATGGATTATTAATCTCTTGAAGGAAGTCTTTACAGTTATATAAGCTAAGCAATGCTTGTGTGATCTTTCATTATATTTCTGTGGATGAGCAACATATAAAAATGACCTTTCTACGATTTCATATATAGTCAAAACCCTCTATAGAGATATTTAGCAGAACAAGAAAAAATATTGTAGTAGAGAAGCTTATTGCTATAATGAGAGTTTTTAAAAAAGTATCTCTTTTCTCATTTTACCTTGTCTGACTACAAATACAGTAATTCTATAAAATTAGACAATGTCAGAACAGAAAAACTTATAGTATTATTAGACATTTATTAAAAAATTTAAGTGTTAAAACATCAAAAACATGCTAAATCTGGAAAATTGCTTTTATCTGTACTGATGCCTACTGACTATAGTTAATGTTCATTTTGGAATTACTATTAAGAGAGTACTACATTTTAATTTCAAAAACAAGCAATAAATTAACTTTTAATTTACTGAATTATTATTTTTGTAGAGAAATGAAAATGCTATGCATTTTACAAATATGGTCAAAGAAGAAATGTATTGCTAAACAGATTTATTGCAATAGAAGATATTCAATTGGGTGAAGTTTTACATTAAACTAATACAAATTGCATAAATATTAAATACTTGTCAATTATAAAAATTGAAATTTAATATAATGAGAATGATTGCAACATAATATTAAACAAGGCAGTTGTTTATAAATATGATTAGGACATAAGAAGAATTAATTGAAGGAAAAATCTTACAGAATATCAAAATCAGTGAAACGAAAGGTTTGGTCGACAGGATAAGGCAAAACATCTTGAGTGGTGTCTCTCTGAAAGTCTTTCTTTGGGTAACCAGCCATTATTTAGGCACACGAAGAAAATCTGAAAAACTCCAAACAGCCAGCTCATTGGTCAGATGAAATCTCAGGACTGACTATCAATTGTTTGGTGACTTTTATCCACTCGGCCACCAGTGAGAAAAACAAGTGAATTTACAGTACAAGTTACGAAACAAATGAAGATTTTAAATAAGGCTATTATAGGAAGTCAGTAGGAAAAGTAGCTCATAATGTAGCTACTTTTAAAGTCATTTAGAGTACTGCACTTTTATATTGTGATAATTACAATACTAATTATGGCTAAAATTGATTGTATTAGAAATAAAAATAACTTAAATGAAAAGAAAAAATTATATATTACGATAATGCAAATATTTAATGTTTTAAAATATCTTAAATATCAAAACATTTTCAAATTATAAATTTACTGAATAAATTATTAAAATGTAGAAGTAAAATAATAATATAAATGTATTCTGAATTTTTCTGAATTAAAAATCCAATAATATAAAGTACTCAGCAAATCACTATACATATAACTAACACCTTATCCTTGCCGAGAAATATAATTTATTTCAAACAAACGTTTTCAGCCTGATTCACAGGCCATCTTCAGGTTGAGAACCAAATTTGAATTAAAGGATTCCGATTTCTCTTAAGTGAAACATGCATACATGGATAGTTAAATTTTATAGATTGTTGGGTTAATGTTATGCAAATGCATCTAGAATTTCCTGTTTGAGCTCTGAAACTGAAAAATATTGTTTTCCATTTTTGTAAACTTTTCACACAAAAAACCCACAAAATTTTTGTTAGAATTTAGATTTCGGCTTCTTGCAGACCAGGTCGTAATGTTAATGT